AATTTAATCCCCCAGCGACACCTCACATGGGAGGAAAATGGGAGGCCGCCGTAAAATCCATCAAGTACCACCTACGGCGGACCATTGGAGAAAGCGTGCTCACCTTTGAGGAGCTCACAACATTGCTCACTCAAATTGAAGCAATTCTCAACTCGCGCCCGCTCGAACCATTGAGTGACGACGCGGACGACATCGCAGCGCTCACGCCAGGCCACTTCCTTGTAGGAAGTCCGCTCACCGCAATACCAGAGCCCTCACTCACCGACCTGGCAATTTCAAGACTCTCTCGATGGCAGCTCATCCAGCAGAAGACACAACATTTCTGGACACACTGGGCAGCGCATTACCTACAACGACAACAAGCCATCTCAAAGTGGCACCACAGGAACAACGAGATCAAGATCGGATCATTGGTGCTCATCACCGACGAGCGGCTACCGCCATGCAAATGGCCGCTAGCCCGGATCACAGCTCTACATCCTGGGAAGGATGGTCTCGTGCGGGTGGTGACCCTGAAGACAGCCACTACCACTCTCATCCGACCAATTGTCAAGCTCGCCGTCCTGCCAATCTCATCATAGGATCAAGGATCATCAACCACGTTGCTGATGGCGGGGAGAATGTTCCGGATTCAATTAGGAATCGCGGTCTGTTCGTCACCGGCGTGATGGCAGCATCAGCCGGGCCAGAGCGTGCAGCGCCACAGGAGCGCTGCGCGCGCATGCCCGATCGCAACGCGAGGCGACGGCGCTTCTACGCGCTCGTTTCCGGGGCCTTTTCGCTCATGGCATCAGTACGAAGTACACGCGTCGTGCAGTGCTAAAGATTCTCAAGTGAAATAGTGGACTTTCCTAATCACGGACAGACTCAGTGTGGACACTTAGTGAACTCAGCAGTGCGATTCAACCAGGACATCTCGGGATACAGCATCACCGGCGGCTCAAGCTCACCACGCATCGCACGCCGGCGTCGCGTGGACACGGCTCACGGGCATCCGCAATCACGAGGCCGGTCATCGATTAATATAATCAACCCGTGCAAGTGACAAAAGGACTGATCATCACCATTAAACACTAGACTGCTCAACTGTAAGCTTTTTACATGTATTAAACGGACCACGGTATTTTACATAATCGATTCGAGTTACGATCACGTGATTTATAACCTCTCATGCGTACATCCGTTCCCCGATCTCTCGCCGCAAAGTCCTCTCAGCCCTGCTTCCAACCGCAGCGGCCCAGCGAGCTCTCCCAAAGAGAGTCGCGAACAGTCTCTTTTTAGTAATCTTTAAAAATATTTGAAAATTTTTTGGTAAAATGTAAATTTTATTACTGTTCTTATTTTACATTGAGGAAATAATTTACTTGTGTGATTTTTAAATATTTTATTTTATTTCTTGTTTAAATCTTTGTAGCATAAGCATAATTGGAGGAAAAGAGATGAGAGGAGGACAAAACGATTAAGGCTTGAAGAACAGCAAGATTATGCTATTAAGAGAGTGTGGGGATTATTGGAAGGAGATAAATTAAGATACAGTAGCAACTATAGTAACAGTAGTAACAGTAGTAACAGTAGCAGTAGTAGCAGCAGTAGTAGTAGTAGTAATAAATTTTTGACAGATATTTGTGAGGTATCAGATCTTGAAGTATTAACGGAGGAAGAAAATAGTGCATCTAATGAATCAATCGATTCTGAAACTGAGCTTCAAAACAACGATGAATATGTGGTTTCTGACGAAAATACAGAATTCAATTCTGAGGAAGTTACAGATAACAGTAAAAATGAAAATGTTAATGTAGTTCTTGATAACGATGAACAAAAGGAACAATATATAATAGTAAATTTACGTGAATGGGCATTATCAGGTGGAATTCTTTCCATTAGTAAAATAGATGAACTCCTTACACGACTTCGTCCAGTATTTAGCAATCTGCCTAAAAGTTATAAAACTTTACTGGGAACATTTCATAATATAAATATTACTTAGTTTCGAAATGGAAGTTTATTTTGGTATAGAGGAATAAAAGACAATTTGGACAGATTTCTTTTAGAAGAATATTTGCAAATAAAAGGAAAAATTGAAATAGATGTCAATACTGATGGCCTTCCTCTCTTTCGAAGTTCTAAAAAGAAGTTTTGGCCAATTTTAGGTCATTTGGTTGGAACTAAAAATGAACCATTTATTATTGCTGTATACTCGTACTTTGGAACGTCTGATCCCAATGACATAGAAGAATTTTTGCACGATTTTATAAATGAAGCTGAAAATTTAATCAACAATGGTTATGTACGAAATCAAAGAATTTATGACTTCTCTATTAGACATTACATCCTTGATGCTCCAGCTCGAGAGCTTGTGAAATGTTGTATAGGACATAATGCATATGCTTCTTGCGAGAAGTGTACAGTGTGGGGTGAACGATCAGCTAATAGGCAGACATATGTTGATCTAGATGCTCCTTTAAGAACTGATGAAACTTTCAAGAATCAAATACAGTCTCACCATCATAAAGGAGTGTCACCTCTTCTCAGACTGAATACTCAGATGGTTTCTCAGTTTCGTTTAGAGTCCATGCACTTAGTTTATGAGGGTGTATTTAAGAGATTATTGCAAACGTGGATACGATGGACAGGTCCATGGAAATTGCATTGGAATGTTGTGGAAAGAATGTCTGATACACTGATTTTGATAGCTCCCTTTTGTCCTCAAGATTTTGTTAGAAGGCCAAGATCTCTAAACAACATTGCATTTTACAAGGCAACGAAATTTCGTCGTTTATGCTTATATGATGGCATTGTGGTTTTTACTCAACATCCTGATATAAATATTTATAAACATTTTCTTTTGCTGCATTGCGGAATTTATATCCTTGCAAGCCCTGTTCTTCATAAAACTATGAATGCCTATGCAAATACTTTGCTCAGAAATTTTATTAAACATTCTGCCACAATTTTCGGAAAAATGTTTGTGGTTTATAATGTTCATTCTCTTTGTCATTTAGTGCAAAAGTATAATGATTATGGTCATTTAGAATCATTTAGTGCCTTTCGTTATGAAAATAGGTTAAAAACAATAAAAAGTACTCTTAAATCAGGTTTCAAACCTCTTCAGCAAGTAGCTAAGCGTGAGATGGAAAGAGGAATTGACAAAATTGTGTTAATGGATTCGGAAGTTAATGAAGTTATTATTTCAAAAGAACACAGAGATGTTAATGAATTAATCAATGGCACTCAGTACAGAAAAATTTCAGTTAATGGCGTGATTTTAGAAGTGAATGACAAAGATTCATATTTCAAGACAAGTAAAGGTCAAATTGCAGTTCTAAAAAATATCATTTATAGAGAGGATAATGCATCTATAATTTTTATTGGAAACATCTTTATAAATGTTGGAGATTTCTATACTTATCCCTTGAATTCGTCAGAACTTGGCATTGTAAAAGTATTTGAATTGAATGACAATAGATTTGTTTACTTTAAAAGATATTGTTGCTAAATGTTGGCTTATCCCTTTAGGAGATGAATATGTTTGCATACCCATACTGCATACGATGCCTTTTTACATATAGAATAATCAACTTCTGAAGTATTTTTATGTGTCTTTTATTATTTTACCTTAAGTATATTTTATTTCTAATCAAATATAATTATTTATTGTATTTTTGTATAATTTTTCATATGGATATTAAATTAGACGTTATCATTTTTTTAGTTTGTTGTTATAAAATTTATAAATGAAGATGACACTTGCCATGACGAAGATGATGATGCTGTCTTTGAAGTCGGTCTTACTAAATGGTTAGGACCATTAGATGGAAATATGAAGACAAGTATTTCTTGGCCTCCTACATCGATGCAGAGCATTTCACTAAAAAAAGAAGTTGATGCGTCTTCTTCATGGTCGACATATAATGTTATTGTTCTACGCTTTTATAGTATGTTATTTTTGTAAATGTGTATTTGCACATTTTTCTTCCGTTTTACTTTAAAGTTAAGCTGGTTTCTTATATATATATATTTTTTCTGCAAACAGAAACGCTTTTGGCTGCACGGAATGGACGAAATGGCTTTATTATGTCTTCTACTTATGAAACAGATATTAAGTTAGGTCGTGGTAAACGGAAGAAAACTGAGGGACAGCATTTTGATATTAATTCTTCTACAAACAAGAAAAAAAGGTTTCAAACTATTGAAAATTCTGACGATTCAAATTTTGATTCAGATGATCCTATGACTGCGCAATTTGCAAGTAAAAAAAATGTTGCTGCTCCACCACTTGTCCCTTATAAACCTGAAAATAATAAAACTGAGTCTCAAAAAATACGAAGTGTGGCAAAACTATAACAACTATAAAGATATTGAAGGAGAATCAATCAGTAAGAAACACTGATGCATTGATATCTTATCCGCAATCTCAGAAATGCAGAAAAGACTATTTGCTTGCAAAGTTGAATAAAGTAAAGAAGAAAACTTTATCTGGAGATAATAAATTAGAAATTATAAAGACTGCAAGACAAAAACAACAAATATATGACAAAACGAAAAAACTGAAATTAACTTCAGCATCTCGTGAACGTGATACGTTCGAAAAACATTGTAAGTCAATTAATAAAAGCACAGCGTTTGAAATGTCTTGTCAGAAAGGATCTGATGTAGAAGAAAGTGTTGGTGGTATTCTGCGGCATTCTTCCATGGAAAGCATAACATCCAAGATGTCAAAAGATAATATTTCTACTGCTAGTGATACAGAGTGTACTGAAAAGTCACCATCCGTGATCAGTACAAATTCTAAAACTGAATTATGTCAAATGCCTACTGATGCTTCTCATGTAAAAAACTTACATTCGCCTTGTTCAGCCCGTCAATCAGGTATAATAACGTTAACAAATGCTTCACTTCTTTCAAATTGTTCATTCCATTAAGTTTATATATGTTTAATTTGTTAGATTTTCTTGCAAATAATCCGTCACAAATGTTGTCTGAAATAAAAGGCATGCTAAGGAAGACATACGTTCAAAATGAAGAAATGAGTAGTAAATTAGATATGGTTATTATGAATGTAACTAGATTAAATCGCTTTCTTCTTCCAAATGAAAAGAGAATAGTAAGACCAACAGATCTTCCATCACTTCCGCTAACAACTGAAGAAGAATTAAGAAAATTTGAAAAATATTTATCTGAAAATGATAACATAACAGCAACGGTAAGCTGTCACTATATCCATTTTTTATCAAATACTGTTGGAGATTTCTCTCCCTCTCTTTCCTAACGACAGAGAGTTGTAAGGCTTGGGCGCCTTCCACGCAGTGCTCTCCGGTGTAGTTTCTTCTCGGGAACGGCGTGGTCAAGACAAACGCGTCTTTTAGTTTAATTCACTTTATTAATATCGACGACACACTACTTAGATGCGGTATGATTCCGATTGCCTTGTGCCACAATTCGGCGAACGGCCAGTTAGCCGGTAGGTTAGCTCTCGTGCTTCCTACTTCGAGCACACGCAACGAACCTCTGATAGCGTAAAAGGTGGGGGGCCGGGGGCAGCCACGTGATGCGGCTGGTAGCGACACGGGTCGACAGGGACGGATCACTCAGAGACAAGCCCTGAGCTACATGCAGCCTATTTTATACCTAACACGCCGCCCGCCTTGAAGGGTTGCCCTTCAACAATTATAGATAAGAAACAAGAAGGCTTATAGCCACAATTAAGATGAACGCAACGCAGGAATACAATAAAAAACGAAACGCTTAGGCTAAATCGGATGATTATACAAGAGTAACTTAAATTAGATAGTATATTTGGACTTCGCTGGAATAGAAACGAACTTAACTTAAACACTTATATCGTGCAAACATAACGAATAAACAATGACATAAGAAACGTTGCACATAGTTACAGTAACTTGAGCGGATATATATGTGTGGTAATTCAGGTACGAGTATTACATAGGTAATATAGCTAACTTTGAAAGCGGCCTGACATAAGATCCTTTGGCTGTTTTGACCGTGGCGGAGCGGGCCAATCCATCGGATCCTAGATGCACGCCCTCCACTCGACCAGTTATCCACTGAAGAGGCGCTAGGCCTTGCTGTTTTATTAAGACTAACTGGTCGGGCTTTAGCTGCTGGCCCTTGGAGGTCTTCCACTTGTGTCTCTCCTGTAGGGAGTTAAGGTATTCGTCGCTCCATCTGCGTGAAAAGTGCTGTCGCATTTGTTCAATTAATTGCCATCGCAACAATGAGTTCGTGTTTACATCACATAACTCTTGGGTAGGAAAACTATTCAATGGGGTGCCAACCAGAAAATGCCCGGGGCTTAAGTAACTCAAATCGTTTGGATCGGAACTCAACGGAATGAGAGGCCTCGAGTTCAATATAGCCTCAATTTCGCATAGGACGGTTTGCATTTCCTCGAATGTCAGGTTAGCCGAGCCCACGATACGGGTAAGATGGTACTTGGCAGATTTAACCGCCGCCTCCCAGAGGCCCCCAAAGTGAGGAGCATTGGGAGGAATGAAACTCCACGTAGTTTGTTGGTCTCGCAAGAAATGCTCTATGGAAGTCTGTGCCTGCTCGGTTTTAAGAAAGTCATAAAATTCCTTGATTTGTCTTTGTGCTCCAACAAATGTAGTCGCATTGTCGGAATACATTTGCTGGGGCTTGCCACGGCGCGATATCAATCTTTTGAGAGCCGCGATAAACGCATCAGTTGTGAGGTCGCTCACGAGTTCCAAGTGTATAGCCTTGGTGGCGAAACATACGAAAACCGCTATATACGCTTTGTGATTTCGCGAGTTGCGACGCTTACCCTCTCGCAAGGTGACAGGCCCGGCATAATCAACTCCACAGTGCGAGAACGGCCGTGAGAATCTGATCCTAGACGCGGGCAACGAACCCATTTGTGCTTCGGAGAAAACTGGCCTTGCCTTGAAGCATGGCAAACAGTTGTTTATGACCTTACGAGTGGCTGATCGCAGCGAAAGCGGCCAAAACCTCTGTCTGACTGCAGCCATGGTGGCTTGCAAGCCAGAATGCATATTACGCAGATGCTCGAGCTCTATTATGCGCTTCGTTAGGATATGATTGCGAGGTAAAACTATTTGATGACACGCGTCGAATGACAATGCGGAAGCTTTCAGTCTCCCTCCGACTCTGATCAAGCCGTCTTCGCCCATGAATGGGGCGAGCGAGAGCAAATTGCTAGATTTATTAATCTCGGCATGCTTGCGCAATGAAACGTATTCGCTTGAAAAAACCTGCCTTTGAACAGCCTTGCATATTACGTTTAAAGAGTTTAGAAGCTCCTTCGGGGAAACCACCTTGGTTTTGGGATTAGACTGACGTTGAGAACCTAAATCCGTATGCTACAATCCGACATATCTTGTCAAGATTGGAGACCCTGTCGAGCAAGTCATTAATGACGCTACAATCGAAGGATGTAGCGGATGCACAAATCCTTCTTTGTTCAAGAACCTCGCCTTCCAAAGAGTTGTATACGCCGCTTGGCCATTGGGCCTCGGGCAGTTGTAAAAACGGTGGACCGTGCCACCACATCGGTGAGCTTATCAAGTCGTCAGGAAGTAATCCTCGCGATAATATGTCTGCCGGATTGTCGCCAGAAGCAACGTGTCGCCAATTGCTTATGCTGGTCAAGCGTTGTATTTCTCCGACGCGGTTTGCTACGAATACCGACCATTTGCGCGACGGAGACGCTATCCAATTTAGAGTTATGGTAGAATATGACCATAAGATGATTTCTGCGTTTGTCAAATCGAGTGATGATCTAATTTTGTCGATTAACTGCGATAACAAAAGTGCTGCAGACAATTCGAGTCGCGGTAATGATACTGCCTTGAGTGGCGCGACGCGAGACTTGGAAGAAAGTAGGTTTGATTGATAGTCTTGATTGCCGACTTTAGTGCGAAGGTAGACACATGCGCCGTAAGCGCGCTGACTGGCATCGCAAAAGCCATGGATTTGGGAGAGGCTCGGATCAGAGAGAATGCCGACGCAACGAGGAATCTGTAATTGATTTAAACTTGAGAATTGTAATTTGAGCTGCAGCCACTTGGTATGAACATCCTGCGGGATCGATTCGTCCCAGTCCACCCCCGATTGCCACAGCTCTTGGAGAATCAATTTTGCGATCACAATGACCGGTCCAAGCAGCCCTAATGGGTCAAATAAACCTGAGATTTCAGATAATATCGAACGCTTAGTCACGACGTCAGGTACTTGGCTGGGCTTATGGGAAAAATGAAATGTGTCGTTGTCTCGATCCCAGAGGATACCCAAAATGCGAAAAGCGGAATCTTTATCAAAATATACAAGACCCTCGCTCTGATCACTCACGCCTTTCAACAATTCGGGACAATTGGATCCCCACTTGCTGAGCTGGAAGGAACCTAACTCTAATAGTTGTATTACTTGATCGCGGATGACTGTCGCTTCTGATATTGAATCAGCTCCGGTGAGCAGATCGTCAACATAAAAATCACGCTTGACATGCGATGAGCCTACGGGGAAGGTATCTGAGTATTGGTCTGCTAAATGTGTAAGACATCTCGTGGCTAGGTAAGAAGCTGCTGATGTCCCGTAAGTAACGGTGGTTAATTCGTAAGCTCTAAAGTCTGAATTGGCGTCACCACGCCAAAGAATCCTTTGTAATTGTGTCTGTGAAGGATGTAGCGAGATTTGGCGATACATCTTAATTATATCAGCCACCAACACGTATTTGAAAGTACGAAAGCGCGTGAGTATAGAGGTGAGATCCTCTTGAACCACCGGTCCTATCATCATAGAATCGTTTAGTGACAACCCGGTATCGGTTTTGCACGATCCGTCGAAAACGACGCGAAGCTTAGTGTCCTTGGCGGACTCCTTTAGAACGCAATGATGCGGCAGGTAATAAACTCCGGATTGATTTGAGGATTGTTCTATGATCGGCTTCATGTGCCCTAATGCAATGTACTCGTCAATGAACTGCGTGTATCGTTCTTTCAGATCGGGATCTCGACTAAAACGCCTTTCTAATCCACGCAAACGGTTTAACGCGATATTTCTTGAATCGCCGAGGTCGTTTATTAAGTTTTCCTTGAGAGGCAATTTGACTATGTATCTGCCCTGATTATTCCTAGACACGTTCTCTAAGAAATGTTTCTCGCAAAGGCTCTCTTCGAGAGTATAACTACCTGAGTTACCATGAATGTCGTCTAACTGCCAAAACTTATTTAGTTGATTGTGCAATTCGGTATTACTGACAGAGACGTGAAACGCTTGCATCATTCGCGGACGCGTTACGGAACGGTTTAGTCGACCAGCTAAAATCCAGCCGAGTCTTGTTTTCTGTAACAGTGGATGCTTATCAGAAGGCTTGATTTGCCCTATGCACATGAGATTCCAGAAAGTGTCCGCTCCGATCAATATATCGATTTTGGAAGAGATATGAAACTTAGGATCGGCTAGCTCAATGTTTCGCGGTAGTTCAAAGGCTGTGCGCTTCATGTTAAACGCGGGAAGATCATCCGTTACGCGGTCGGTTACAATGCAGTCGATAACCGTCGAATAGGAATTTAATCGTGTAAGGTTCTTGATCGTCTTTTACGCGAAGGGATATTCGCGTATATTTGTAGGATGCCGAAATAAATGCAGAACTGATGTACACTATACGAGTATATATATTTGAACTGTAAAAACCACCGTTACACTGTATAGCCGGAGTGACTCCCGAGGGCACGTCCGGCGTGTTCCTCGTCTCAAAGGAGAGTCCCCGCTCGTTCGGAGCTTCGGCTCCTTCCGCTCTTTTTCCGGAGGGTTTCGAAAGCTCTAGCCGAAAAGCGGAGCTACGCGTTTCCGGGTCGCCGACCCGTTACAATATAATGTTTAGGGGATCCAAGAGGTGTCGCCACTTGTATCGCCTACCCGCGTCTTACAACTCGACCATCCTGGCCTGAGCTTCGTCTCGAAGCTTTGTATTGTTACATGTGTGGGTGTAACCCTTTCTTTATTAACAATGTGGTGACAATGCTACAGCTTCCTGATTGTTTGCTGTTTATTTCAGGTAGGTGTATCAATTGCCTTTATATCTAGAGTTTGCTTATTATCTATCTTACGTCTACGCTGTGTTCGCTATTAAATTCTAGGCCCAAATACTATTATCCTACACCTTAATGATTGCTTATGACTAATGTTTAATCTACTGCGCTTAACATTACGCTGGTTCATCCTAATCTTAACCACTACGGACTGTTGTGTTAATCGGTGACGCCGAGTTTTAGCCACGGCTTAATTGTATCCGAGGATAAAATCGTGTTCATCGCTATTTGAGTGATATTGCAACCGGGTATGTCTTTAATGACGTACCTATTGCACCCGAGGACCTTGTGCACGATGTAAGGCCCTTTATATTTTGGCTTCAGTTTCGTGTTAACGCCTGGCTTATTGCGTATGTCCCGTACTAACACATAGTCGCCTATCTGGTACTCTGTCGGTTTTTTACTTCGAGAATCGACGTATTTTTTGTTATAGTCTCGAACGGCTTCCGTAGCCTGTTTCGCGGTTTCCCTATCTAATTCCCTTTCTTTTTCTAGGTCGGTGTCTACATCTGCTAACGCTCGCAGCCACCGCGCTAACCGTGCGTCTGCGTGGTTCTGCTGGTCATAGCCCAACATAATTTTAGCCGGGCTGGCTTTGATTCCTGAATGGTATGTATTATTAATGATGTATTGTACTAAGCCTAAGTGCTGCTCCCATTCCTGCGGCTCGCTTAATAATTTGGTCAGGGAGCTTTTCAAGAATCTATTGACTCTCTCTACCGTACCGTTCGCCCATGGCGATGCTACCGCTATCTTCCTATGAGATATTTTCCGGTTATCCAAGTAATCTTTAAATTCGACCGACGTGAACGCGGTACCCCTGTCGGATATTAATTGGCTCGGATTTCCAAAGGTGTCAAAAATTCTATCCAACCCTTTAATAGCCTCCGCGGTGCTGGTTGATCTAGTTCCCGACAACCACGTGAATCGCGTAAACGCGTCTACCGCGACTAAAATGTGTTTATATTTATTTCTCGTCTCTTGTAGGGGACCGAAATGATCGACGTGGACTATCTCCATTGGCTTTTCTGGCAATGGGAAGAGGTGCGTCTCTCTCTCGGCCTGGTTCGAGGCGCTATTCGACATTATGCAGGTGAGACAGTTGTCTATGTGGTCATAGACTCTTTTATTAATTACTGGAAACCAGTAATTTTGTTTGATTCCGTTGATAGTTTTCTCGGGTCCACAGTGCGCCATGTCGTCGTGATGGGCCCGGAGAAGACACTCAACTAGCGAATCAGGTACGTAAAATTTCAATTGGTCGTCCTTCCTTCTGTACACCAGTCCGTCGACCAATTCAAATTTCTCGTTATCCGTAATCTCTAACTGTTTGCTTAATTCTAAAATCTTAGGATCTGATAATTGTCTTAACTCTAGTTCTCTCTCTATTGGCCGTTCGAACACAAAAGCTACCGCTCGGCTCAGGGCGTCTACGTGCGCCATTTTTTTCCCCGGACGGTGCTTCACCTTGAATTGGTAATTTTGCAACGCTAGAGTCCACCTGGCTATTCGGGGGTTCAGGTTCGCTTTATTAACCGCGTAGACTATAGCGTTACAATCTGTTACAATAGCGAATGGCAGGCCGTACAAATACAAGTGAAATCTATTTACCGCCTTCACTATTGCAAGCATTTCTAGCTCGTAACTATGGTATTTCTTTTCAGCCTGATTTGTGGCCGAACTGAAATACGCCACCGGCCCCCAGGGCCCGTCTTTTACGCGTTGGAGTAGGATCGCGCCAACGCCTACTGTACTGGCGTCGGTATGCAGCTCCGTCTCCCCCGCGGGGTCGTACAGCTTTAACACCGGCGAACAGGTGAGTTCCTTCTTCAATAGCTCGAAGGATTCTTTGCACGACGTGTTAAACTCAAATGTAGTATCCTTTCTTAACAATTTATGGAGAGGTTCGGCCTTTATCGCAAAACTAGCTATAAATTTCCTAAAGTAACTAACTAAACCTAAAAACCGCTGTAATTCTAGTTTGTTTCTGGGCTGCGCAAACTCTTTCACGGCCGACGTGTGTCTGTCGCTTAGCGTGATTCCGGTACTGGTTATGACGTAGCCCAGGAACTCGATAGTTTTTCTCAAAAATAAGCATTTCCTCAGATTCAGTTCAAATCCGTATTGTTTCAAAGTTATTAACACTTGTTCGAGGACGGTTAGATTTTCGTCAACTGATTCCGTTGCAATGAGCAAGTCGTCGATATATACTATCACTTTCTCTTTTCTTATTAAGGGATTGAAGATCCCTATTATTCTTTTCTGGAATTCTGCCGGGGCTTCGCTATAGCCAAACGGCAAGCATTTATATTCATATTGTCCGTCCGCGGTCGCGAAAGCAAAATACTTGGTCGAATCTTTATGTACCCGAATCTGGTGAAAGCTGTCTTTGAGATCCAAGAGTGTAAAGACACTCTTATTTGCCAATCGCGATAAACAATCCTCTATCCGCGGGAACGGATATTTCTGTTTTTCTATTCTTGCGTTTAGCGGCCTGAGATCCACGCACAGTCTGAGCTGTCCGTTTTTCTTACGTACCGGCACTACCCGTGCGCAGTACGGTGATACGCTCGGTTGAATTACTTCTCTTTCGAGCAAATCTCTTATGATCTCTTCGATCTGGCGGCGCTCGACATGCGCGAAGCGTCTCGGCGCGTACGCGTAAATAGATGGATCTCGGATCTGTACCTGTACCGAATAGTTATCTGAAACTATCTCAATTTCCTTTGTCTCAACTCGCTCGAGTAAATCTATAAGTTTGTCCTTTGTCTGTCGTCCGAAGTCTATTTCAATGTCCTCTAACGTGTGTTTCAGATTCGCTGTATCGCGTTCGTCAACACAGAGTGGCAGTTGTTCGAATAGTTTTACCGTTTCCTCATCATGTTTACACAGAGGCTCGTATACCAAGGTGAGTTTCCCTTGAGCTAAGAAATCTCTTCCCAATATTATGTCTCCTTCAAATACGTCGTTTTCTAATACACACAAACTAACTTCGAATTCTTGACTCGGCAGTTGAGAGAGTTCCAATTTAATTCGTGCTATTCCTAATACTTTGATCGGCACATTATTCAAATTTCTTAATCGTCTATCAATCGCAGTTAATTCTAAATCTTTAGTTTCAATGTATTTTTTATACGCGCTTAATCTAACAAAAGATACTGGACTTCCGGTGTCCAACAACGCTGACAAATTACAATTATTATTACATATCTTTGTGACCTTTGTTACAGGAGAGGTGACCTCGAGTTTGGAGCTGCTCCGGCCTTCCACCGTCGCCACCGTCTCGGGGGCTGCCTCCTCCTCGTCCACGGCCGCTGCAAGTGTCTTATGTGGCTGGGGCCGCTTCTCCTTCGACTCCTTGTTCCTCTCTTTCAGCGCCGGGCAATTAAACTTCAAGTGTCCCTGTTCTTTACAATAAAAACACTTTACCTCTAACCGACACTGCGTATGAGCGTGTCCCTTCTTTCCACAATTTCGGCACTTATCCTCCGTCCTGACTTTCCCTGCTCCGTGGGCGGTGCGGTTGATCGATGTCCCTGGCCCCGTCATCCCCTGGGTAATGTGCCGCATTTTTTCCATGAACTCGTCCACCGTTGACTTCTCCAGCGCCAGTGCCGTGGCCCTCAGTGCTGGCTGCGTGATCCCTCCTGCGAGAAGTTGGATTGTGTCTGCCTCCGCCAAGTTTGCAGTTTGCAGGATCTCCAGTTTATCCATGGCATATGCGTCGAAAGTCTCTTTCTCCGCCTGCCACTTCCTCATCTCTGCCTTTTGCATTGTCCGGTAATAAGGCACCTTCCGGTCAAACATTTTGGTTAGTTCCGCGCTGAGTGCTGTCCAGCTTTCTAACGCGCTCCCGCGCTGTATGTCATACCACTGCTTCGCCGTCCTCGTCAGTTTGCTCGAGGCGGCCAGCAGTATCGTTCCCTCGCTTGCCCCATGGATCGTCGCTATCCGGTTCACCCGCGCGATCCAGGCTCTAACATTCGAGCTTTCATCTCCCGTGTATTCTGGTATCTGGGTCGCAACCCATTTTACCGAATTTCCTATTCCGGTGCTCTCCGATCTCGCTCGAATCGTATCTCTATATTCGCTCCCGTCGTCGGATCCGTTGTCGCGGGCCTCCGTGGCCGGGGGCGCCGCTGGTTCTACGGCCCTGCTTCCCACTAGGAGCCTCATTACTTCTGCGAACTGCTCGTTCTGTTGTCTCAGCATCTCGGCGACGGCGGCTAGCGCTGACTCCGGCGTCGTAGCTCCGTCGCTTTCCGCTTCGATTGACTGGGGGCTCGGGGTCTGACCCGACGTCCCTGGCCTCTGTTGCGCCCCTTTAGATTTGCCGTCCGTTCTCTTTTCTAGGTGCGCTATTATCGCCGCCAGCATCCCTTCCCGGGTGCCGGTCGCAGTCACTCCGTA